GGGCCGCACTCACATAGAAGCGCAGCAGAGCCCCGTCAGAATTGCAGCACCAGGACCGCCTGCCCAGGTACTCGTGGGCCGTGTTGAGCAGCATGAGGGCGGACGGGAGCATCGGCGTCTCGGACATCCCTGCGGAAACAGCAAACCAGTCAGCGTGGGAATGTGTGGCCTGCGGGCGGGGCTGCGGGCAAGGTGGCCACCGCTTGGTCTTCCTTTCCCTTCTTTTTGAAAAAGTAATGACTTGATTGGCTTTATTAAAGCAATACATGCTTATGAAACATGATCCATACAGAAAGAACTCCACTCAGCAAGAACAGGTCCAAGTCGCCAACGCTGATCAAACACCACTCTGAGCGTCTTCCTGTGGAAACCATTACAAGGGAAAGCACACATTAACTATTTCTGAATTTAGAAAGTCCATTCTGACCCACAGCACCCCTGGAGGACAGAGTGGAACTGCCCCCAGATGGTTTCCAAGGCTGTAATCTTTGTGGAGAGAAACCCACCAGCCACTCCTGGCAAGAAGACTGGGCAATCTACTTAAGTAGCGATACTGCCTCGGAAACTCAAGGAGGGTTCGCTGTGAGTCAGATGCGACTCAACAGCAGTGAGTGAGAATCTTTATGGAAAGGAGCTCTGTAGTATAGTGCCTAAGGCATTTGACTGCTAACCAGAAGGTTGGCAGTTCAAACCCACCAGCCATTCAGTGGAAGAAGGACGGGGTAACCTACTTGCGTAAAGATTTACTGCCTCGGAAACCCAAAGGTGGTCGCTATGAGTTGGAATCGACTTGATGGCAGTGACTTTGGTTTTTATTGCAATCTTTATGGAAGTGGAATGCTGCTGCTTTCTCTTGAGGAGGCTTGTGGGTTTGAACCACTAACCTTTGAATTAGCAGCTGAATGCTTTAACTGCTGTGCAACCAGAGCTCCTTCCAGTTGAATATTGTTGTTGTTGTTATGTGCCGTTGAGTCGGACGGACCCCTAGCAACTCTTCCTTGGGTTTCCAAGGCGGTATCTCCACAGATGTAGATTGCCCAACCTTCCTTCCAAGGGGTGGCTGGTGGGTTTGAACTGCCAGCCTTCTGGTTAGCAGTCAAATGCCTAGGCACTACACCACCAGAGCTTTACAGAAGGTAAATCAGAAGAAACAAGTACTCCCCTACAGTGAAACCTTTGTTCACAACTGCACAGAGGAGTTGTTCCTTAAAGATCCCTTGCTGTTTTGCACACTGTAGGCCGTACTCCATTAGTGGCTTGCAAGGAGCATCTTTACAATGGATTGGGTTTGAGCACTTTTGGAAAAAAATACCAGAGGGTGTAATCCCAGGAGAATAAGGATTTTTTGATGGAACTTGTTTGATACTTTTTACTTCTGGTCACTCCCACTCAAAAAATTTCAAAAGCACTGGTAAAAGAATAAAATAGAAAGTAGAAAATTAAGTTTAAGCCACTCTGATTTTTTATGTTTCTTTTCAATGTAAGGTGCGCTGGTGGTATAGTGGTTAAGGCATTTGGCTGCTAACCACAAGGTCAGTGGTTTGAACCTACCAGCTGCTCCTTGGCAGAAAGACGAAGCACTCTGCTTACGTAAAGACTGATAGCCTTGGAAAGCAGATGGAGGTCTCTATGAGTCAGAATTGACTCAGTGGCAGTGGGTTGGGTTTGGTTTTGGTTTTGAATAGTTTCCATGTCCCACATCAAATGACTCTTTACCATGTATGATTGGTGTTAGGGATTAAATTATATCCTGTCAAAACGTGCTGTCAATCCTGACCCCATGCCTGCGGTTATATGCCATTTGAAAACAAATTCTTTGCTATTTGAATGAGGATTTTTAGTGTAGGGTGGGTTTTAAACCAGTCTCTTCTGAGATATAAAAGATATTAAACACACAAGTGAGAGGGGAGACTGGAAAAGGTAGAAGGCTTGCCACACGAAGACAGCCAAGGAGCCATGGAATAAGGACCTTCCTCCAGAGCCTTCCACTAGAGCCAGTGCCTCTGAAGGCAGCCTGCTAGCCTCCTCCACTGTGACAGACCGCGTCTCTGCCTATGCCAGCCACCACTCTGTGCTATTTGTTACGGCAGCCACCGCTCTGTGCTATTTGTTACGGCAGCCACCGCTCTGTGCTATTTGTTATGCCAGCCACCGCTCTGTGCTATTTGTTACGGCAGCCACCACTCTGTGCTATTTGTTACGGCAGCCACCGCTCTGTGCTATTTGTTACAGCAGCCACCGCTCTGTGCTATTTGTTATGCCAGCCACCACTCTGTGCTATTTGTTACAGCAGCCACCGCTCTGTGCTATTTGTTACGGCAGCCGCCACTCTGTGCTATTTGTTATGCCAGCCACCACTCTGTGCTATTTGTTACAGCAGCCACCGCTCTGTGCTATTTGTTACGGCAGCCATCACTCTGTGCTATTTGTTACAGCAGCACTAGAGAACTGAGGCGCTGCCTTCTCTCTGCTCAGCTCCTGGTGCTGCTGGGAATGTTGTTTGTACTTATTTAAGGTTTACAACACTTACATTCTGTTCTGCAGCCATAATTAGCCCACTGTTTTCCTCTTGGTTCCAGTTTTAAATGGACTTGGTGAGTGTCACAAGCTTTTCCCTTCCTGAGATACTGCACTTTGACTCATGCTGCTTGAATGAACGTCACCCTCTAGTCTCAAACTCACGGCCGTGGCGTCAGGTCCTACTCATAGCAACCCCTCCCTGGGTTTCTGAGGCGGTATCACTACGGAAGTAGATCACCCAACCTTCCATCCAAGGAGTGGCTGGTGGGTTTGAACTGCCAGCTTCTGGTTAGCAGTCAGATGCCTTAGGCACTACGCCACCAGAGCTCCTCATCCGCTAGTAGCGTTCTTCCTCACTTTTTGGAGTTGAGAATATACACAGAAGAACAGACACCAACTCATCCTTTGAGTCGTGCAAACATCCGCACTCATTCAAATTATTCCTCTGTTAACTCACTGCACCCTAAATTTCCTACCAAATCTTCGAGCTGCTTTTGTTAATTTGATCCCATAAAAGTAGCTCATAAAAAAGCACAGTGGTAAAACATGTTCTTCAGGGGATATTTTTGTTTGATGCTGATCTTAGGACAATAGTTTGGGGGATGCATCAAGCCTATACGGCTCTACAAAACTGGATCCCATGAGCATTTCAAATTCTGTTCTGCGTTTTCTCCTTTCAATCAGGATTCTTATACAGAATCTTTGATCAAAATATTCAGTAATACTAGCTGGGCACCATTCAGCTACTGTGGTTTCAGAACAAAGAAGGTGGTTGTCCATGGGGCGATTAGCCACACATTCCATTTCTTTCTCCCATTCCTGGGTCTCCTCCTTCCTCTGTTGCTCCAAGGAAATAGAGACCAACTATTGTACCTTGGCCAGGGACCAGGACAGAGTGAGGAGTTGGCCGCGGGGATCTAGATAAGGGTGGGAGAGGTTTCCAACAGCCAAGAGAGCCAAACTTGTCTGTCAGTTTGTCCTACTGTGGTGATATGCTGCTGTGAGTTTTGAGGCTGAGCCACTGGTGTTTCAAACCCAGCGGGGTACACATGGTGCACAGGAATCAGCCCAGCTTGCAGACTGAGACAGGCTAGGAAGAAGGAAGAGGCCGTCCACTTCTCAAAGAACTGGCCAGGGAAAACCTTATGAATAGCAAAGAAACACTGTCTGATACATTACCGCACAACTTTATGAATAGTCCAGATAGGTCAAAAGACTCTCAAAATAGGACTGGGAAAGAGCTGCATCATCAGAAGCCTTACTCATATGGATAAGGTAAAGCTTTCAAGACCTCCATTTGCTGAAGTGGCACCACTCAAATTGAGGAGAAACAGCTGCAAACATCCATTAAGCATCAGAGCATGGAATGTACGAAGTATGAATCTAGGAAAATTGGAAGTTCTCAAAAATGAAATGGAACACATATTGATAGCCTAGGCATTAGTGAGCTGAAATGGATGAGTTTTGGCCATTTTGAATCAGACAACCATGTGATTTACTATGCTGGGAATGACA